CCACACACACACACACACACACACACGCTTTCCCTAATCCTAAACTCCTCTATCCCACTTGTCCCTTTGACACATCATTCAACCACTCTCAGCCGTACCATAAAAGAGAGAGAGAGAGAGAGGTGTGTGTGTGTGTGTGTGTGTGGGTATGGAAAGGAGAGGACAGAGCAGGAGAAGAAAAAAGCAAGGCGATGTTCAGAGTTGGGTGCATTTGCATATTCTAATGGAGAAAATGATGCATGGGGTATTGAATTAGCGGCGCACAAAGTGATCTAAGCGTTGAACTGTCACAATTAGCGCGGGTGGCTGTCAGAGGCTGACGGCGGTGTGATGTCCTTCAGAGTGAGGCGACAATTAGCAAACCACGCGACACGTCGCAGCCACTGATGTAACAATCCCTCCATTATCGGCTCACATGTTTAACGCTGGCGGAACGCAAGTAAATTCCTTTCTTTGAACAGGACATGAAAAGGGCTATAATCATCTGTCTTTAGTGCTTGCTGTGTGATGTGGATAGTTATCTGGAGATTGTTTTGGGGTTGCTAAATGTTCTTATCGTTCCATTGGTAATGATGGAAATGGCAACCATAGTTGCTTTTGGGAAACGCACCCCTGGTCTGTAGATATGGCTCAGGTCCCTCCTTCAGTAACTCTATTGGGATGTGGGACTATCATACAGCAGGTGAAAATTGCAAGTTTGTTCACTTAGAAATATGTGCTACTCACCAGGTTGTCTTCAACATTTAGCATTTTTTTAGTTAAAATTTATATTAATGTTTATGTAATTTGGATATACATTTGTAATGGTTGAAATTATATTTTAGTTTATTTTTTTATTTTTTTTATTTTACACTGCCATAGCTATAGTTTAGGGTAAAAAATGTATTAAAAAATTATTTAATTTAATTTAATACTTTTATTCAAGGATGCAAAAACTATTTGAAAGTGTTACAAAAGTAATTATAATATTGTTATTATAATGTTACTAAAGATTTCTGTCTTTTGAAGTTTCTATTCATCAAATAGTCCTGAACAAATGGATCCCAGTTTCCACAAAATTATTAAGCAGCACAACTTTTTTCAACATTATATATAATAATCAGAAATGTTTCTTGAGCAGCAAATCAGCATATTAGAATGATTTCTGAAGGATCATGTGACACTGAAGACTGGAGTAATGATGCTGAAAATTCAGCTTGTATAAAACATGTATTTTTGATCAAATAAATGCAGCCTTGGTGAACATAAGAGACTTATTTTATGAACATCAAAACATTTTAGTAAAATAAAACTTGTACAGTAGTGTATATTTCTGTAATGAACTATTTTTACTCCAATTTGGCACTTAGTATGTGTTAAATCTGTATCCTGTGTGAAAGAGAAAGCGAGAGAGAGAGAGAGAGAGAGAGAGAGAGAGAGAGAGAGAGTTTCTGAATGACTGTACAGTCATAAAGGTGCACAAATGAAATGGATTTCCTCCCGTACAGAGAGCACATTTACTATGACCTGAAAGCTAGAAAATGGGACATACATAATTCACTGAAGTGCGCTTTCAATGCAAGTCAACAAGCAGTAACACAGTAAATCTGCCAGATAACGAGCATCCACGTTTGCATTTGCCCTCTAATTACTGTTTGTTAAATGTATTCTCAGCGAATAATGCAAGCTATTTACTTGAACTTTGCCACCTTTTTTCGTTCGTATCCACTCAGTCACGTAAACAGTGAAGGCCTGGAACAGCGATTAAATCTCATCTCTTGCGGGAAGCAGGCAGTTATTTCTTCTTCTTTCAACTGTAAAAATAATTTCTGCAAATAGATTATGTTAGCGTGCATATTCGCACCGGCACAGCGAACACCTCCTCCCCAATTATTACTTGACAGCTAGCTAAAATTAGTGGCATACTTTAACAGCTCGGCGTTAGTTATTGTACCTGTCTGATGTGACTGCGGCGGTCCCCGCTGAAATGAGCCCCGACAAATGCATCTCATTTACAAGCCGCAACGCTCTGTTAGATACATAAACTCCTGTTTGCTTCTCTAATAGCTGGACTTTTCTTTTTTGTTTGCATTCTGCTTCAGATCTGTTGACTCCAAACACATACTCAGCAAATAGGAAAGTAAAATAACAAATGAAAGCTCTTTAATATCTCAGTTGTTTGGTATGTCTCATAAGCTGGACGGCAATGAGATTAAATGGAGAGTCTTTTTAAGCTTTATTTCTGCTTAGATAAAGACCCTAGTAAATTCACATGCACAGTTTCAGAAAGAAAAATCTCAACTACAGTACTGTGCAAAAGTCTTTGGCCATTAGTATTTTCACCAACAAAAAAAAGTTTTATAATAGCTCTTTATAATAGCTCATTTAATCCTGAATGAATTTGATGAGGATATATATATATATATATATATATATATATATACATACTGTAAGTATAAATAGGTCATATTGAAATTTTGAAGATTTTATTGTCTTGGCAAATGAGAAACAAACATCTCCATTTATTTATTTATGAGAGCAATATCACACGAGCGCTGTTTTTTGTCCCGAATAGCACGAGTGCATCGTCTGTTTGATTACGTCATTAACTGAATTTTACCGTACATTTGTGCCATATGTACATCAATTTGACATAGTCACCACTGACAAGATACTACTAAATATATTGTAGAAACTTAATTTCCTGTAAAGCTGCTTTGCAACGATTTGTACCGGGAAAAGCGCTATACAAATAAACTTGAATTGAATTTTCACAGCCAAATTTAATTTGCGATTAATTAATCGGCACATCATGTAATTAATTAGATCATTTTAATCGACTGACAGGCCTAATATAAATAAATATTATTT